GGTTTTGAACAGTGCTGTACGAATAAAATTTTACTTTACTCACTTTTCTTTTGGTATAAATACACTGTATACACATCACTTTCCTGTTTGTACCCAAGGTACCCATACTCGACCAACATTAGTCTGCTTCCAAACAGCTCAGGTGACATACTTGTTTCAGGTTCACCATCTCCTCTTTATAGTTCATAACTTAAATGTTTTGTTCTGATTTTGCTTTTTCTCTCTCTGCTGCTGTACAGTTGTTGACCAAATTATTTATGTATATTTTACAGTTGTTAAAATTTTGTACTATGCTGTTTCACTTTCATGCTCTAAGGCCCCCCAGACTATTAAAGATTTGTGAATTTGAATAAATGACAGCATGCAATTGGGGACTCCACTGGTTATCAGATGAAGTCTGATTTTATAAAGTTCAACCAGAAAAAGGCCCCCTTTAGTTTGAATGACTCACAAAAGGTAACTGTCCTAATCTTTCCTTTTGAAACAGAATAATGATCACCCTGTAAGTGATGGACTCATCAAGAACAAACATTTATAACCGTTGAACAGTTTATGTATAATTTTTCCTCTTGTTACCTTTATATAATATTTATTTTGAATGGAAAGTGAGTAGACATGCAAAGAATCACAAGGAGCAGAGTTACGAGTACTTCAACAAAGAGGAAGGCAAGGAGATGCGTCTTGTATCACTTGGAAGTGAAGACAATACTCAGGCGCTGAGACTGAGGGCTGCAGGCTTCTTAAAGTGCCTTGATTGTAGATGAAGAGCAGGTGTGTAGTCTCACTCAGCCTCAGCAACCGGGGGAGGGGAGGAAGCTCTGGGAGAGAGTAAAGCCAGACCAGGCAAACAAGGAAACACATGAAGTCCAGCCAAAATAAAACAAAAGGAGGAGGCGATATGTTGCTATCTTCTTTTTTTATTTAATTGGCCGATCTCCTGGTTTTGCTCACAGCATTCACCTTTTCACAGATAGCCTCCCAAATCTTGTTTCTTCTAACAATGTTGAGATGTCCCTGCTGGAGTTCACCAGTGTGTTTATTTGCTTCCTCCACCAAGACCTCCAACTCCATGACTTCAAACTTCACTTTTCTGCTACGACCACTCTGCTCTCCCAAACTCTCCATGGTGACAGCCGGTAGCTTACACAAAATCCTCATTTAAAAAGAGTGGTCTGCACCACTTTCACACCTGTTATCAATTGTGCACATAATCATAGTCACCCACAACATGCCTACCAAAAGCACATGCAGTTAGTAGGTTATGCCCAGAGCGCAAAGTTCACTGGAGTCAAATTCCTTGTAGAGGAGCAGAAAAGTGACATAATTGTTCAGTTGGCGATACAAGCATGAAAATTGGTGTGAACATTCTCCATGGGTCACTTGACAAGAAAAGCGTCTCAGCCATTTGACATTTTAAGATGACAGCCATTTTTCAAGATGGCTGCTACCTAAGTGGAACAATTAGGTGATGTACTTGTTAGATTGGTAATATAGGCATGAAAATTGGTACAAACAGCCTTCTTGAGTCACTCAACAAGAAAATGTCCCAAGCTGCTTGAAATTTCAAGGTGGCGGCCATCTTATTAGAGCAGTTGAATGATGTGAAGATGGTGTTATAAACATGAAAAATGCTAAGACCATTCTCCATGACTAACTTTACAAAAAATGCCCCAAGCTGCTTGAAATTTCAAGATGGTGATCATTTTTAAAATTAATTTTTAATATTTTGTGTTTTTCTTTGTAAATCAAACATATGCTTTTCATTATTCTGCTTTTTTTTTTTTACTGCTTAGCACTTTGAGATCATTAACTTGATGTAAAGTGATATACAAATATATATATATATATATATATTTTTTTTTAAATAGAATAGACATTGGATAGAATATGTTTATTGTCCATGTACAGTGAACAACAAACTTAAAGCTTAAAGTGGAGTCCTGACAGTGTAAAATAAAAATGTGTTTAAAAACATTGTAAAATTAGATAAAAACACGTAAAATAGTAAAAAGTTAACATTAAAACATCGTAATCTAGTTTTCTAGTCTAGCTGTCTAGTCTCATACACTTTTGCAAAACTCAGTGAATGCCCCGATGTAATTGATGAAAGCGACCTGCAAGTGTTGGAGAGATTTGTTGTGGTGGTGATACGCTATCCCGTTGTTCCGGTTTAACTGGTGATCATATTAAGTGGTGAGATTTTAGGTAAACCTGATCCAGATGTTGGCTGTTCTGCAGATTCGCCACAAAAGCCTCAGTCCGGACCAAACGGTCGCCGGCACGTCCAAGGAGAAAAACTCCGCGAACATCAGCGCTTTTCACATATATCGACAACCAGAGATCCCAACCAAACTGCCCACTCAAAGAAGCACTAAAAAAATAAAGATAAAAACATTATGATGAACACAACTGAACGTGGCAAGGAGGACTCGAACTCACAACGCAAATAAAAACGAGCATCGAGGGGCGAGCACGCTGCTGTAACGCCACAAATCAGCTTACTCAGCATCTCGTGTATCTCATACTTGTCATTCACTGTTTCCAGGGTGTCACCACATAACCTGCTCCCATGTTAGCTGGTGACTCCAGAGGCCTGCCCGTGTTAAATTGTGACGATCATCTCATAATACACAACACTTCTTCTGAAAAGTCTGAGACAGCGGTCACTCTGCAGCTCTTTGGGGAGCCCATGTTAACTCGTGAGACGCATGTGTGATAAATTGTGAAAATCGACCATGAAACACTGGACTTTTTTAAAAGGATTATTTATTGAAAATGCATGAAGGACAGAAATACTCCTTATTGTGATCGGGATTCCCCACACAGTCCGAGTGATGCCAATGCTGGCAGTTTGTACATTCAATCTGAAAAGGAGAGCAAAGACAATCACAGCTGTTTTGTTCCTACAACAAATGTAGTCAGATCAGAAGGGGTTCTATTGCCATTGTCGATAAACAGGATTCACAGTCTAGGAATTTGTTTTGGCATGATGGTGCAACAATAAACAGAGTAATATAAAATACTAGAATAAAAATAGATGATTGACTTACCCAGGTATCATGGGTGTCAGGGTTGGCACAAACTCTGCATATTTCTGAGAGATCATCTGTTGATAACATGAACAGTTAGTCACAGGGATTACCAACATCACACCGTGAGGTAATAAATAATGAAACTAACCTGTTTCTGAGATCAATGTATGTGCAATTTTCATTCTGACTGCATTTTGACTGCATTAAAACTTGTCTGCCAACTAGAATGATATTCATAATATATTGTAAAAATGTCCAAATACACGTTTCTTCACATTTCAATGTTGTGCCACAAGTGCTCCTCCACAATTTTTCACAAATGTCTTACTTGGCATATTATGGCTCCACAAGATGTGCCGTCCTGCTGGACTTTGTGGTCAAATGTTGTTGAGCTCCAACGGGAGCAGTTTACTCCTCTGCTGCGCATGAATGCCCTTTTAGCGGAGAGATTGTATGTTTAATCAACAAATTCTGGATTTTCAGTAATCTTACTGTTCTTTCCTACCTTGACATGTTGGAGCATTTTTTCAGCGCAGCAAAGGAAGCTCCAAATGGGTCCAAGTACAGGGTTGTGTGTGCTTGAGGGTAGATCACCTGTGAAAGATAAACACTCACCATGACAGAAGCCATCAAATCTACTTGTAATGTTGCTAGCAAAAACAGCTCACAGCCAATGTCCAATGATTGTTGTCACATATAGCTCCCACCAAGATGTCATATTCCATAGGTTCCACCTGCAATCATATTACATTATACAGAAACAATTCAAGAAACATTTCCTACACATGTTGGTCACTAAATATTTATATTCAAATCTTATATGTTACAGCAAAGCCCTAAAAGATCAACATGGGGAATCATTACTTACTTTCTTAAGTGCATTATATTTTCCCCGCCACATTTCACTCATTGCATAGGAATCTATGTAATGGGATCTTGGGATGTTGCATAGGCGCAAAGTTAAGTATGCGTTGATTATCTGTAATGAATGACCAACCAACCAACCAACCAACCAGTAAGTGTCAAGGACAATCCCCCTCTTCCAAATAGAAAAGTGCTTTCTTACCTCACTTTCCACCAGCTTCCCTGAAGCAAGATGGTCCCTCAAGTTCTGGGTAAATATGTTGTAGGGACCGATCTTGCTCCATAAAATATCAGGGGCCTCATTGTACCAAATCTTTCTGACAACTGATGGAAAAGATTTGAAGAGTTAGTTGTTTGCCAATATCAATCTACTGATATGCAAATGACAATATCTCTGTATACCTTCCTCCTCAGCTTCTGCTGGTATTGCTCCTGATGGAGATGGAGCTGCTGCTGGCGTGGATGGAGGTGCTGGTGGTGGGGATGGAGATGATAGTGGGGGGGATAGAGCTGTAGGTGGCAGGGAGGGAGCTGCTGGTTGAGATAGAGATGTGTGGCGGTGAGGCTGTTACTGGTGGTTGCTCCCCTTCTCTCCAATGCCGTGGGACCCTCTTTTTCGGCTCAATGTAATGAGATAATTGATCAATATTGATCTTCAAAGTAGTCTTCCCCTTTTCGGAGACGAGGTCAGCACTTTTATTTTCAATCTTGATGATTTTAAAAGGCCCCGACATCCCTCGGCCCATCTTGCCACCCTTTCTTTGTTCCTCTCGTATGTTTTTTCTTAGGACGAGATCCCCTACCTGAAAATGGTCATCCTGGCCCTCATCTTCCCTCTTTCTTTTCAGGACCTGTCTGACTTTCTGGGTGTTTTCCACAGCCTTCTCATGGCATATTTCCAAGGCCTGCAGCCCATCCGAAATTTTCTCTGTCCTTATAATTTTTTTCTACTACATCATGTGTTAACTGCAGCAGTAAGGCATTGTGTCACTTCTTAAATGGCTATGTCATATCAAATAAATGTTACAAACTATTCATTGTCCATACCTCACACTCCTCTGGAATTTCGGTTGGATATCTCGCCTCCCTGCCAAACAAAAGGAAGTATGGAGAAAATTGGGTGGTCAACTGTTTCTTCGTTCGTAGTGCAAACAGGGTGGATGGCAGGTGTTCATCCCATGTGTTGGGTTGGTCACCGACAAGTTTGTTCAGTGTCCTGTAAGGAAATACCACACACAGATACACACAGACACACACACTTACAATGTGACTCAAAAAGGTAATAATATTAATGATAGTCAAAGACCTTCATCAAACCTTTGAATGGTGCCATTCATCTTCTCCACCAAGCCATTTGTTTGGGGATGATAGGGGGCACAAAGGCTCCTTTTTATCCCCAGCGAGTTGCAGACACTGTAGTTGACCTGCCAGAAAACAATAAAACATGAAATGCACTCACTCACTCACTCACTCACTCACTCACTCACTCACTCACTCACTCACTCACTCACGCTTACCTGGTTTACAAACTCTTTACCCTGGTCTGTTAACAACCGTTTTGGTGCTCCAAATTTATAGAAAAAATCCAACACGCATTTTGTAACCTCAGCTGCTGATTTGGTCTGCAGGGGATAAGCCTCCGTCCATTTTGGTAAAATAATCAATCATCACACAAATGTACTGATTGCCCTTTTTGGTCCTAGTCAGCTTTCCAACAAGGTCCATCCCCACCAGCTCCAGTGGCTCGGTCACCTAAATGAAAATACACGATATTAAGAGATCCTCATTCTGTTGGAAAGTAGGTTTGTATTTTCATCTACCTCAATTGGGATGTAGGCTGTTTACACTTTTAGTGTAGTCCTCCTGGCCTGGCATTCCGGACACTCCTTTATCTGAATCAAAGCAGACCCCACAGGAAGGTGAATCCGATTGATGCCAGACATCACAAAGAGTAGACTGATCACAATTACATTTCAACTCACCCATTGCCGGATGTCTTTTTCCATGCCGGGCCAGTAGTACCTTCTAGAAATTGATTCCCAGGTTTTTTCCATCCCACAATGTCCTCCATACTGGCTTGCATGGAAGGCTTTAAAAATTTCATCTGCCTCCTGAGGTGAGGGGACCGCCTTCGCCACGTGTTCCCCCAGCCGCCGTCGACAGCAAATGTAATGCAATTCACCATCTAACGGGCCGATATTAAACTGTCAATTTATATTTTTTTCAAGGAAGTACAATCTGCTATTCAGGCTTTTCTTACCTCGTATGAGGAAATTCTCACATCTACGGCGGATGATGAATCTGCCTCTGGAGGAACACCCTTCCGGGAAGACATTATTAACCAAATAATTGGTTATCTCCCAGACACGGTCCCTGTCCATCCCTGAACTTACCTGAATAGATCTACCCTTACTTACAATCTTCCTACCTGACTACTTATGTGGCTACTTAGCCCTAACAACAGCCCTACCTGTTTTTCTTACCTGTTATTTTAACTTAACTTAATTTTACCTACCAGCCTTACTGCAACTTACCTTTTACACAAAAACAACTTATCTCTTGCACTTACAATTGAAACACACAATGTCCTTACCTCAGCTTAACTTTATTCTAGCTTACCTGACCACTACTTTACACAAAACGCAACAGCACAAATATCAAAAATACAGATGTAAAACACAACAGGTAACAGGCATACAACTAGACACAAATCAACACGACAGTCAGACTGGACACAAAAAATATACAACAATGACAAGAAGAACGCACCACAAGGCCCACACACAACTAAATTTCACTAAAAGCAATACAGAATGCACAAAACCAGACGACAAATAAATTCACCACAAGGTCAACAGACAACACAATGTCACACAAAACAACGCAGAAAACACAAGCTATACAACAAACAACAGCAATATACTACTTCACTCACCTGTCTCTCTCTGTATCTCTGTCTGTCTCTCTCTCTCTCTGTCTCTCTCTCTCTCTCTCTCTCTCGCACTGTTGATTCCCTGACTTGGAACAAGTCAAAATTGTTTGGAAACCCCTATTTATATCTTTTTTGGCCTAACCAAGTGTTCCTTGATTGTGGCTAAAGTAATGGATGCTCTGATTGGCTGACTGCACATATAGGTGTTGTGGTCCTAATTAGTTAGGAGCTACAGAAGGGTAGACCACCCTTTATATCAGGTTGCAACATCATGTGGGGCCATCAAAGTCAGATGCCTTTTGCACCTTTAGAAGGATCACATCTGGCACGACAGTGAAATATATGGAACAAGTGCACGTCTCTATTGAAGCACATGGCAGACTATGTTTTTGAGATGCAAATCCATTGATGCTGCATGACTGCATGATAATTTTAAAAAACACTGACAGTGTGTCATGGTGGATTATCACAACTTACCACACAAACGTCTCACAAGTTAACGTGCTTTTTCCAATGAAACATGATACACTGTGACACACCAATCAATGTGACCGCGGTTGTAGACTTTGCAAAAAAGATCCATGAATAAAATGATCACCGGTGCTCAAAATTGAACAGATACGGCTGTCACCAGCTAATAAGGGCGTGTTTCTCTATAGGAGCAGGTTATGTGGTGGAAACAGTGAATGACAAGTATGAGATACACGAACTGCTGAGTAAGCTGATCTGTGGCGTTACAGCAGCGCGCTCGCCCCTCGATGCTCGTTCTTATTTACGTTGTGAGTTTGAGTCCTCCTTCAACGTTCAGCTGTGTTTATCATTATGTTTTTATCTTTATTTTTTAGTGCTTCTTTGAGTGGGCAGTTTGGTCGGGATCTCTGGTTGTCAATGTATGTGGAAAGCACTGATGTTTGCGGAAAAATTTCTCCTTGGAAGTGCCGTCGACTGTTCGGTCCGGACTGAGGCTTTTGTGGCGAATCTGCGGAACAGCCAACATTTGGATCAGATTTACCTAAAGTCTCACCAGTTAATATGATCACCAGTTAAACCGGAACAACGGGATAGCATGTTGCTAACACAAGCGCTAACTACAATAATACAAAGATGTACGTCTCAGAACGCAAATCAATAACTTTACAAGATCGTCTGGACCTAGAGCCGCTCCCACGTGCTAAACCCATCACCAGTGAGTCCCCACACTGGGATCACAAAGTTTAGTCGCTACTCACCGACGGTGTGTGCGCTCCTGTCAGTGAATGAATGAGTTTGAGAGTCTACTGCGTTCCGCCATATTACTACCACTACTACGTCCACTGCGCATGCCCGGTAGAACAGTAAGCAAAAATACAATTAATTATTATAAAGAACAGTACGAAATGATGTTAACTTTCATGCAGCTTGTTCCCATTTCTTTCATAACTGAAATTATCAAGGCAATATCAAATATTATTTCAGGAGACACTTATTTACAATATGGTGACCTCAAGTGACCTAAAAGTCTCTACAATGAGGCGAGGCCTGATCTTTTTGCAAGAAAGCAAAGACCATATGACCTGATCCAACCAACTCAGGCAGCACTAAAAGAGCACGCCGAACGTGCAGCTCATGAGGCTGGATATGTGTGGGGACAGGCATTGGATTAAAAGCCAGAAATGCCAAGCCCATCTGACTGGGGATGGATAAAAGAAGATGACAAATGGAGAATCTTTTGGACTCCTCTTCCCCTTGTTGGGAGTTGACCAAATGTGGGTGCACCAAGAAATGTACTGGATGATGCAAGTGCTTCAAATATGGACTCACTTGCACATGCCTATGTGGTTGCCCCTGCTGGAAGCAATGTGTGCATTCTTTTTGCCCATTCTTATTTTCCCCTGTTTACCTTCCCCTTGTCAGAAAAAAGAAAAAAAAGTTACAAAAAAGGGACAAAAAACAAACAAAAAAACCCTCCATTGTGACTAGTACCTTGCTGTGGTAAGGGAGCTTGCATTCTTCCGTGAACCCAGAGCTATGCCATTGGGAGGCAACTCCTGGGAGGTTCTACCGAATTAGACAGGTTGAGGGCAAGGAGTTGGACAAAACACAGTCAAGCATTTTCTTGTGAAGTGACATAAGCAGAATGATCTTTCCACTCTTCATGTTTATATCACCAACTTTACATGATTTTACTGTTGCAATGAGATGGTGGCATCTTTTAAACGTTCGCCTCCTTGAAATTTTAAGCAGCTTGGGGCCTTTTCTTGTTATGTTACTCATGGAGAATGGTCTTAATATTTTTCATGTTCATATCACCAACTTTACATCATTTAACTGCTCTAATGAGATGGCAGCCATCTTAAAATAGTGTCCATCTGGAAATTTCAAGCAGCTTGGGGCATTTTCTTGTTGAGTGACTCGTGAAAACTGTTCATACGAATTTTCATGACTATATCACCAATTTAACAAGTACATCACCTAATTGTTCCAGTTAGGTGGCAGCCATCTTTAAAAATGGCTGCCAACTTAAAATTTCAAATGGCTGGTACACTTTTCTAGTCAAGTGACCCATGGAGAATGTTCACACCAATTTTCATGCTTGTATCACCAACTGAACGATTCTGGCTAAAATTCTTACTTGGTCGCTGCACTATTGTATGTGTACACAGGCTTGGCCTTCAAAGCTGATTCTGATTCTCTTCACTTGTTGCAAATTTGCAAGCAGATATGTTGCAAGCCAATGGGGTGAAAGAGCTCATGAGAATCATTAATGCACATAGGCTGCAGGTTTGCATGTTCAGCTCTTCATTACCCTCTCATGAATCCTGCAGGGGTTTGCCATCAACATGGCTCCACACGCTGGTGCCCTGCAGGCCAGAGTCACAGTAAATGACATGCAAATTGGCCAGAATTCAAAGGCCCAGATAAAGCCTGACCTCATCAAAATAAAGATGACATTTTTTTCTGAGGCTGCACTTAAGGACAGCAATTTATCAGAGAAGTGGTTTGTAAACATTACTGGAGCGACAGTGAAGGATGTAGCACTGTGATGAAGGGACTGATACAGAGAGGCTTGGCAATGCACCGGCAGTGAAGAAAAGGATTGGTTTGGGGGAAAAGGGCAATGAAACGGTCATAAATGAATCTGTAAAGAGGGCACATGGAGGGTCTTCAAAGAGTTATGACCACAAACAAAAACAAATGGGGTCTGGCACAGGGGCCATCATAATCACAACACCACATCCATGATCCTGCGCTGTGCAAAAAAGTCATGTATGTTAAAGTATAAGGCTTTCTGTCATTGTCTGTGACATCCCCTCACTCTCAGTAACGCCATCTTTTCTCTCATGTGCCTCACACACACAGTCCTCATCCCCCTTCCAGACAGGTATTGTTATAAAATCAGCCAGAATGAATGAATACACAGATTGTTTCTGCTGCCTGAGACCTCAAACAAGGAACCATTGTCTGCCTTTTTTTTTTTTTTTCTTCATGTTGACATGTTCAACAAAATGAATTCTGCAGATTCTGCTGTTGGAGTGGTGTGTGTGTGTGTGTGTGTGTGTGTGTGTGTGTGTGTGTGTGTGTGTGTGTGTGTGTACAAGAGACAAGAGAGAGAGAGAGAGAGAGAGAGAGAGAGAGAGATTGAGTAGCCAATGTCTGCTTTGGAGCAGCTATGGTTAGGACCGTCGCAGTGTACTGG